GGAGATTAAGTTACTTGTCCAAGGGAGTGCAGTTGGCAGGGGGCAAGGAGAAAAGCTGGGATTCCAATCCAAGCAGCCTGGCTCCTGAGCTCATGCTCATAACCACTACACTCCGTGGCCTTTCTAGCCCCTCAGCACGGCCCAAATCCTCTGCTGGGACCGTCTGACTGAGAGGGCCAGTTCTGTAAGTGTACTCTCAGGACAGATGTCTCTGTGAGAAACCCTGGAATTAAGCCCTGGCTCTTCCCAGCCACTGTCCCCCTGCTATTCGTGTGCCAGCCACACCAGCCTCCATTTGGATCCTGGAGCATGCCAAGCTCTCTCCTACCTCAGCCTTGCCTCTGCCATCCTCACATGGAGGGCCTTGCTTCCACATTTTCTTATAGAAACTTCTAGTCCCTCCTGGCACAGCACTACTTCTGAGAGGCCTTCCCTACCCAGCCTATGAGGATTTTTCTCCTAGCCATTCTCTAGCATGGGACCCTGTTCATTGCCTTCACATAGCCACCTCAATCAATCTGTGATCGTGCATTTACTTACTTATCTGTTAGTGGTCTGCCCCCGCCAGCCTCCTCCTGCCCAAACTGGAAGCACCCCAAAAGCAAATGCCAAGTCTGGCTTTTGCTCTCTGTTACAACCCGTCTCCTGGCACTGTGCCTGGCATACAGTAGGTACTCCTTAAATAGCTGAATGAATGGGTTTTCACCAAATAGGATTTCACTGAGTGGATGTCATGAATGGATTTGGACTATCAGAACAGAAGACTGGACACATGCAGCACCTGCTCTGGCTAGAACTATGAGAATGTCGAGTGCCCACGTAACAAGGCTGAAAGTAAACTGGAAATTGAACACGCCTGGTTGCCTGGTATCTCTTTAGGGTGTTTGAGTGAATTTCTCTTCTACAGTGATTTGTCCATGTTATTTGGAAACAGGCAAGAATCCTTTGAGAAGGCTCTGAGGCCAACCCCAGGGAGGAATCTGTGGTCTCTCCTCAAAGCCCACTTGTCCTCAGAGCAATCCTGGTCAGTAGGCACACTGGAGTGAATGAGACCCACAGCCTGGATGGGGTATGGCTCCCTTCACCTGGCCAAAGCAGTCTTCCTTACCCTCCAAAACAGTGCCATCATACAAGTGACGAGCCAATTTGAATATAAAATGGCGACCCCCTGGAGCCCACAGTCTGAGTTCTAGCTCACTTACAATGCAGCTGCAACAGGGGTAACAGCCAGCTCTCACTCGCTGAGCACCTACGATGTACCAAACACAGAGCTGTGTGCTTTACATACACGATCTCATTTATCTTCTCAACAGCCCCCCTTGGAGTCTTTTAGTACCATTTTAAAGGTAAGCCAACTGAGCCTCATAAACTGAAGACCCTGGGGAAGGTCACAAAGCTGATTACTTCCAACTGCAGCAGGGGCTGCAAAATCAAATGTCAACAGGGCCAGGTTGGCAGCACAGGTGAGAGCACAGGCTCCATCTACAGGGGCTGCCCCTGCCCATCCCTCTCTCTAGCTCAACGCAGCAGCCGGGGCTGGGAATTGGTAGTAACCAATTCAATTAAGAAGAGTCATGCAAAGTTCTTATCTGTTAGAGAGAAGTATTTATAGATGCAGTAATATGGTGTCTTCCATTTGCTTTAATACTCTGTGTGGGTGGGTGCGGGTATTTTAAAAAGAGATGGTGGGGTAGACGAAATAAAACTTAGGGCAAATGGTAATAACTGTTGAAGCTGAGGGCTGGGTATATGGAGATACATGATACTATTCACAAAATCTATTTTATTCTTTTTGTTTTTTTGTTTTGTTTTTTTTGTAGCTGGCCAGTACAGGGATCAAACCCTAGACCTTGGTGTTATCAGCACTGCACTCTAACCAACTGAGCTAACTGGCCAGCCCCCTCCAATCTATTATATCTAGTCCTCCCTTCCCCACCCTTCCTTTCTCTTCCTTCCCTTCCCCCTCACCTCCTCCTTCCTTCTTCCTACCTGTCTCTCTCCCTTCTGCCCCCTCTTCCTTCCTCCACCCCTAGCCCTTCCCTCCTGCCTCCTTCAGCAGACACAGCCTACATGGCTGCCAGTTTGTGACCTCCACCCCATTCCACTGTGCTTTCCAGCAGAAAACAAAACAGGCTTCACTTTATATGTGGTCAGTTTGCTTCCTTCCCAAGCAGTGACCGCAACTTTGATGCTCCTTGTCAGAAGCCACCTTTTATGCCAGAGCTGCCTACCACACCCGGCCCTGCTGCTGGTCAGCAAACATTTGAGATGACTTCTGGGGAGGACTCTTTATGTTGTGGTTTCTTATCAAAGTGTGACAAGGTCAGTAAATACACTTTATGTCACCTCTTCCTGCTGTTCAGAGCTGGAATTCCTTTAAGTCCGTCAGACCATATCAAGTTAGATAAAAGCTGACCAATCCTACACATTTCTCCCTGAGTCAGCTGCCTCAAACTCACCGGGGAGATAAAAACATGCCCAGCTTCCAATCATTCAGCGAATGTGAATGCCTTACCTACCCTTCACCTACCGTGCTTCCTATATTTTGAATACACAGAAGGCAGCATTCTGTGAAACCCAAAGTACAGCGATTTTCCCCAGTGGTATGTGACAAGCTCCAGCATTTACACACAATCACACCTGCCCTGCCATAAGCCAGCCAACACATGCAGTTCTTATTCTACTACCATGTGCTTTTAAAATCCATAATCCCTAATATTTTCTGAACATCACCCTCTTTAGCAAATGACATGATTTGCAATCAGGCTGGGTAAAGAAAGACAGCCATTACTTTCTTAATGGCCAACTACCCAAAAAGGCTCAGTTAAGTGATCTCAACTAGCAATCTAATCAATTAAAATTGATAAGTGAAATACTTTTAACCTTTATTTCAGCAGGCCATTCCTAGGGGGAGGAAGGAAAGAATGTGGATTCCCATCATAAAATTTAATTCCATTTCACGGATGCAAACATTCTTGCTGCCCTGATGGGTGACCCCTTTGAAAGCGAGCTGTTTCCCTTTCTCTCCTTGAATTGAATCAAGGAAAAACTGGTTTATGCTTCTCACCAGCCCACTCGATCAATTTAAACCCTTACAGAAGTCCCTGTTGCTATTTCCCAAGGGTGAAAGGGCCGAAGGAGATGGGCACAGAGCACAGTGGGGACATGGCTTCATCCATCTTCCCAGAAAGGAAAGATGAAGGAACTTAAAATAGATGAAGGCCAGAAAAAGAAACTAGATGACTAGGTAATCCCCATAATATTCATTTCCTGAGAATTACCTATGTGTCAGGCAGTGTGCTACGCTCTGTATAAACGTCACTCATTCATTTAATCAGCAGGTAATAACTGACTACAGTTTGCTGGGCACTATGCTTGGTCATATTTCATGTCATGTTTCACTCAATCGTCAAAACAACCCTATAATACAAGAAAGAGGACATGGAAGTTGTGGAGGTTTTAGTCATTTGCTCAAGAAAATGCAGAGTGGGACAGGGATGTCTGGCTTGAAAGCCAACATGCAATGGTCTGTCTCATGATCGCTGGTTACACAACTGAATAGTTTTGTTAAAACTCATCAAATTATACACCGGAGCTTGGGGAGCTTTACTGCATGTACATTACACCTCAATAAAGCTGGTTTACAATAGCATAACAATACTACACAGAGCAGCCATCTGCTATTTCTGCTGGCCCAGCCTCCATCCCTTCTCCATCATCTTCCTTTGAAGGCCTCCTCCTTCCTCACTCTCAGGTGATGGCATTCAAAGCAACTGGCCCTACCTCCCAGCTCCAGGACTGGCTATGTGACCCCAGACCAGCATATGTGACCCCAGACCAGCCAATCAGTGACGCACATTCCTCTGACCACTGACTGGCTTGAGGATGGCCATATGACCCAAGCCAGGCCAATGAGAGCTCTACCCCATACTTCTGTGTAAGTTCTAAAGAAAGAGAAGCTCTCTTTCTCTCAGGACTGCTTAGCTGGTTCAGCAAATCTTGGGGCTGCTGAGGGCCATCTTGCCACTACCTGGTGAGCCTTTACCAGGATGAAGCTAGAACAGAGGAAAGCAGAGCTGAGAGATGGAGTGGGGCAGTTTCTTGATGACACTTTGTGAGTACCCAGATCCAGCCATACCTGAAGGCAGAACTACTCCTGGACTTTCCAGTGACATCAGCCACTTCCCCCTTTTTCTTCCTTAAGCAAGCCTAAGTTGGGTTTTCTATCTCTTATAACCAAAGACTCCTAACATACCACAATGCCTTTAAGAGTCACAGAACCACATAGCTCATCAGTATATACTTGCCCCATAGCAAATGGAGAAAACAGAAAGCTATGGAACATGACCAGGCTTTAAACCTATTGTCTCCTTCAAATCTCAGCCTCATTTTGCAGAGAATACGAGTAGCCCAAAGTTACAGGATAAGCACATGGTTCTCAGACTCCAAAAGTCCTCATCCTAACCTAAACACTGGTGATTTGCTTCATGCAAGCTTGCTTTCTTTAGCAGCAGAATTCTTTTTTCGGCAGCTGGCTGGTACAGGGATCTGAACCCTTGACCTTGGTGTTATCAGCACCATAACCATGACCTTGGTGTTATCAGCCCTAACCAAGTGAGCTAACTGGCCAGTCTGCCAGAATTCTTTTATCATTGGAATCATACAGAAAACCCTTAGTACATAAAACCAATTAAACTGGTGCTGCTATGGTTATACGGAGGGCAGGGACCCTAGAGGGGCTCTTGCTTGAGCCTCCAATTACTGTGTACAAAACTTACAGCAAGCCACCTGGTCTCCAGAAAGCAGAATCCACAGACTGACCTCAAGGAGACCTTTTCTTCAAAAATTTCATGAGGCATGCACAGTTAGCTCATGGTCATAGATCAATGGCAGTACAAAATGCAGGTTGCGCACTGACTCCCCTGGTGGCATGTGAGTCAGGAGCAGAGTGGTGTCCCATGTCCCCTGACCCCTGTTGTGACTCAGGGCAGCCAACTCACTCAGATCCAGGACGTCATCGGTTTTGATCAGGTCCTCCTCCCGAGTCAGTGGCAACTGGGTCTCGGGCTCCCCTCGCAGCTGCAGTGACAGGGAACGCAGCATGAAGAACACCCGGATCGCCTGGACAAATAGTTCAGGGATTAGAGAAGAGTGAAACTGCAGAGTCACTTCAGGGAGATGCCCCCATTAAGAAACCGTATGCTGACTCTTAATTTTTTACTTTTATATTTTATTTATTTATTTTTCCCGATATACAATGTGGTTGATTATTGTTGCCCATTACCGAAACCTCTCTCCCTACTCCCTCTCCCCCCTCCCACCCAACAATGTCCTTTCTGTTTGCTTGTCGTACCAACTTCAAGGAATTGTAGTTGTTTTTTTTTTTTTTTTTTTTTTTTTAAAAAAGATGACTGGTAAGGGGATCTTAACCCTTGACTTGGTGTTGTCAGCACCACGCTCAGCCAATGAGCGAACCGGCCATCCCTATATGGGATCCGAACCCGTGGCCTTGGTGTTATCAGCACCGCACTCTCCCGAGTGAGCCATGGGCCGGCCCCAAGGAATTGTAGTTGTTATGTCTTCTTCCTCCCCCCCTCCACCCCCCGGTTTTGTGTGTGTGTGTGTGTGTGTGTGTGTGTGAATTTATTTATTTATTTATTTTTAGCTCGGGAGCTAAAAATTAATTTTTTAAAGAAAAAAAATAAAGCCTACCTCTTCTAGTACTGTGGTTCTGGTGCTTTCATAGTAAGACAAAAAAAATCAAAGGGGAACAGCCTGTTTTCAGTTATCCACGGGTTCAGGTTTGGTTTGGGTCACTTTACCTAAACTGAGCTCCTGTCATTTGCCAGGACCTGTCCCCCAGGTGTCACGGGACCTTCATAACACTCCCGCCTAGCAGTCAGTCCAACTTGACAGACAGGTCAAGTGACCCGCCTATGGCCACGCTTCTAGGGAGGGCTAGTACCCAGGCCTCTTCCAACTAAACCAGCATGGACTTGGGAAATCCAAATCACTAGTAAAAGTATTTTGAGGTCCTACCTGCTGAATGTGGGTGAGGGGTAAACTGAAGAGGGTGACATACTTCAGAGCTAGTGAGACCCGATGAAAATCCTACTCTTGCCCCTGCCCCTTCCTGAGTGAGCCCCTTCACCTCTCAGCCTCTTGGCCTCATGACGAGGAGAAAGCTGCTGACAGGACAGAGGCCTGGCGCTGGACAAGTGTGCAGTGACTTTAGCTCTCTGAGTACCCCTCAGAGGCTTTCCTAGCCAGCAGACCAGGGACAGAGGTGGCTCTGCCAGCACAGGGCTGCTTTGCCCACAGGAGAGGCATCTTGTCAGAATCCGGCATGGCCATCAGGCATTTCCAGAGAGCAGGAAAAAAGCAGAGTCCTCAGAATCCATTGAAGTTTGTGCAGAAAGCAGCCTTCAACCCTGGAACAGGCTTGCCAATAACCAGAGCCAGGAAGCAGAGAAGTCGTCCACATGAGAGGTCATACCTCCAGGCTTCTCTCCCTGCTGTGCAGCCAATGGGCCCTACTGCGGGCGGAGCGTGCACCCGAGGGAAACAGCTCCAGTGAGACAGACAGGTCTGCATTGGATTCCCAGCTCCACTGTGCTGGCAAGGCCCCTAACTTCTCCAGTTTCATTTTCCTCATCTGTGAAATGGGTGCAATAATCCCTAACTCGCGGGGCTGCTAGGAGGTTCAGGTATAATGCTGCAGGGAATGTAGGCAGCACAGAGCTCCATAAAGGGGCAGCCATTCAGTCACTCATCTGGCACCACACTGGGCACAGAGAAGGGTGTGAGGACAAACCACTGGGAGCTGCATAAGGATGAATTTCAGCGCACTGTTGGTCTTCCTGTTTACAGCTCTGAAGGTAACAGTCCTGGCCTACGTGAGGGAAGGGTACCATTTATTCAGCAAGGTACCTCCCCAAACAAGAAAGGTACTAAACTAAATGACTGCCTGCAGAGAGGTGGGCTTGCACGGCCTCCTAACAACCTGGCCAATAAGGATATGGATCAGCATGTCTAAACCCTAATCCTGCCTTGGCCCTGAACCAGCAGGAGAGCTTGGACCAATCTCCCACATAAAAAATTCCAAGAGTAATCCCACCTATGCCTATTCTGCGGTAATGCAGTCCTCTTTGTAAGCTATAAAGCACTAGAGAAAGCTAAGCTTTTATATTATAATGATGATGACAACTATGGTAGTGGCAGTAGTAGTAGCATTAGGGTCTGATCTGATTGTTCTTAACAGTTTTTAAAAGTACGGTCTTCATAAAGACATCTGCAACAATCAGAAGAAAAGGAGGTGCAGTTACATTTAAAAAATCAAGAGAGCTTCTATTTATTAATCACCTATTGTGTGCCAGGAACTGTGGACACCTCACTGCAACTTTAAGATTTTACAGAAGAAAAGCAGTGGAGAGGGGCAGAGTGATCTCAGTTCACACTGATAACTGGCTGAACTAGGCTTTGGACTCAGGAATGTCTGACACTTGTCTCACTTAACTGAGCGCATCAGGAAATTCAAACACCTGTGCCAGCCCAAGTGCAGAAAGCCCACAATGTGGGTGGTCACTTGAAATATGTGGCAGTTTGAGCTCTCAAATAAGGAGTCATGACCTCAGGGATAAGGACAAAAGAAAGAAAATGGCCTATTGCAGTCAGGTCCAAGTTAAGGGGATGCTTCATTTCTGTGTCAAAACCCCATTTCTCTGGAAGTTCTGAAGGTGAAGAACTCAAACAGGACCATAGCGGGGGGATGAGAAAATAGAAACGTGTGTGGTTTTCCACAGCCATCTCCCTGAAAACCTGAAACCTGCCAATAGGCATAAAAGGAGTTCAGAATTTGGCTTCCAATGGAGGCCTTGGTAAGACATCTGCTTTTGCTCTGCAAACAACAAATGGAAGGTACTTCTAGGAATACAAAAAACAAACAAACAAATAGATAGATAGATAATATAAAATAGATTAGAAAATATATAAAATAGACCACCAGACACCTGTACAGCCAGACGCTGCCCCTGCCTGCGGACACAGCTGCTGTTCTCTGCCCCGCACTAGCATGGTAGGTCCGAACTCCCCATGCACTCACCTCAGCATCACTAGCTCAAGAATTGAAACAACTGGGCAGGAACATCTGATTGGAAGTCTGCTCAATGCTAGATGGGACTTCCAGTCAAGATGGCGAAATAGACGGTCCCTAGCATCAATCTCTCCCACAAATCAACTGATTTACAACTATAAGAACATATCATCAAGTGCATACGGAATGGGGAGACATCCAGTGGGGGAGGCAGAAGCTCCTAAGAGACCACACCGCTGCCGCACGATCCAGCAGCTCGGCTCAGTGCGTACGGAGCAGAGAGACGTCCAGCAGGGGAGGTGGAAGCTCCGTAGAGACCACACACCCTGTGGGGGGGCCACCACCGCACGATCCAGCAGCAGGTAGGCTTCACTGCCACCACCTGGCTCCATCCCAAGCTCGGCCCAGTGCGCACAGAGCAGGGAGACATCCGGCAGGGGAAGGGGAAGCTCGGCAGAGACCACACGCTCTGCAGTGCCTCCGTGCACCCCAGGAGCCCAGTCCAGTGCGCGCAGAACAGGGAGACATCCAGCAGGGGAGGTGGAAGCTTGGCAGGGACCACACACCATGCGGTACCACCCCGTGACCCAGCAGCCCAGCAGAGTCCAAGCTGACCAGAGAGGTGGCTCCCTGGAGAGGCCCAAGACCTGAGGCAACCACACACGCAAGGCACTAGTGGCCAACTGAGCAGTCACTGAGGTAGTCATACCAAATTGGCAACCACAGCAACATCTTAGTCAGTCAGTAGTGTCAAACCTGTGGACTGTGAAACCCCCTGCCACAATGAATAAACATCAAAAAAAACATACCAGAAATACAAAAAATCAAGAAAGTACACCACCAAAGGGTAATAACTCTCAAGCTCTAGATCCTATAGAACAAGAAGCCCTTGAAATGTCTGACAAGGAATTTCGAGCAATAATTCTAAGGAAACTGAATGAGATACAAGAAAACTCAGCTAGACATCAGGATGAAACGAGGAAAAGTATACAGGACCTGAAAGAGGAAATGGACAAGGAAATCAATGCCCTGAAAAAAACATGTAGCAGAACTTGCCAAAGAAGGACCTGAAAGAAGAAATGTACAAGGAAATCAGTGCCCTGAAAAAAAAATGTAGCAGAGCTTGCCGAATTGAAGAATTCATTCAGCGAAATAAAAAACACAACGGAGAGTTTAACCAGCAGGCTTGTGGAAGTTGAAGAGAGAACATCTAAACTTGAAGATGGGCTGTTTGAAATAACACAGGCAGATAAAAAAAAAAAAGAAAAAACAATCAAAGGCATTGAAAAAAATCTAAGAAAGATAACAGACAACCTTAAGCGCTCAAATATCCGAGTCATGGGTATTCCAGAAGGGGAGGAAAAAGGAGATTGCATTGAGAACATATTCAACAAAATAGTGGCAGAAAACTTCCCAGCTATAGGAAAAATCACAGATCTTCAGATCCAGGAAGCTCAATGATCTCCAAACGTATTCAACCCAAAAAGGTCGTCTCCAAGACACGTTATAGTCAAATTGGCAAAACTCCAAGACAAAGAGAAATTTTAAAAGCTGCAAGAGAGAAGTGTCAAATCACCTATAAGGGAGCCCCAATCAGGCTAACATCAGACTTTTCATCACAAACCCTAAAAGCCAGAAAAGAATGGGATGATATATTCAAAATGCTAAAAGACAGAGATTGTCAGCCAAGAATACTCTACCTGGCAAGGCTATCTTTCTGAAATGAGGGCAAATAGTATATTTCCCAGACAAACAAAAACTGCAGGAGTTTACCACCACACGACCACCCTTACAAGAAATTCTCGAGGGAGTACTGGGTTTGGCTCCTGAAAAATAACTACCACTGCCATAAAAACCCAAGAAAAATCAAAACCCACTAGTATAATAAAAATGGCATTCATGAAGAGAAAACAAACAAACAAAAAGGCTATCTACAACCCAAGGAACCAATAAATACAGAAAACAAACAGTAAATCAGAAAGAAAGGAACAAAAGTCACTTAAGACATCCAAACAAAAGTCAATAAAAT